TATAACAAAGCAGCATGCCTTTTAATTTGTTTATCAAAAAACCTGCTTCGTGTTTCATTTCTGTGACATTGTAGTAGGTCTTTCTCCATTGATTTTTGTAGACAATTATTTTTCCCCCTGCTCCTATCAGCTTCAAACTTATTTTATGAGGGGACATCAGTTATTTTATTTTCACCGATTGGACTTCTGAAAATTTATTCAGATCACTGATGGGCATTTTTATTTAAATGCTACAACAACCTGCCTCTCTGTATTGAGAATAGCATAATAATGTACATGACTCACAACTAAAATTGTTGTAAATGCGTAGACCGAATAATTTGCTCTATTTAAACTTTGTCGTAACTCCAAAATCCTCCAATACTGGATTGAACCATAACACAGGCATTTCAGTTTATTGAAACACATTTGGTTGTACAGCAAAGAGAGCTTCATGTTAACTGTAAGAGTTTGCAGGTTGGCCTTATGGGGCTCCCAGTCCCAGCTGAAGCGGCAGGGTCATGACTCCAAGCAGCTCGGTAGGACTCTGAAACGCTCCAACACCAGCGCAACCACTCAGTCTGCAGGGAGAAAAAAAACGTAATCCGCTTATAAAACCAAATCAATCCCCTCAGGGTTCTGTGTACCTTTAGCCTTACACTTCACACACAAAGTCCCACTCAGTCGATGGCATTATGTTTCCACTCCTCTCACTATAAAGTGATACAATATTTTATTAATGGTCTACGCTCCTGCGTTGACATGGAGACCATTTTAATGATTAATCTGAAAGGAAAGTGCCCATTGTACACTGGGGGCCATTGAGGAAGTAAGAGAACCACCGTGTTGTTTTCAGTCAGAGGCGTGTCAGAAAATCCTTTTTAATTCTCATGTCACTATCGTTGATAACCTTTTATCCTCTGTTTTTCAACACCAAGCAACACATTATTTGGCAAGTGCATTTCAGATGTATTTATTATTTATTGGTGACAGGTGATTACTTAGTGAACAAATGCATCCTCTTTAACATTCACAAAAATGTGTCTCTTCTCATAATTTGTCACAAAAATCTTGAGGTGACAGATGTTTCGGTGTTATTGATTCAACAAATACAACACAGCAGGAATGGATGTTGTTAACAGGGTCCCACACGGTTGTTTAAAAACTCAGGTCAAACCAATAAACACTTGTGTAAATCTGTCGGGGCTCCTGTAGAGCTATATTAAGATGCCAATCTAGGCGCGGAAAAGGTTCATTAGTGTTAATTAGACATTTCAGGACATCCTTTCTCTCTCACAATCACCTCAGTCTTTAATTAGTGGGACCAGCTGGGGAATAATACAGCTGTGTTCAGGGTGGGGCAGAGAAGAGGTAGGGGGCACTGGGGAACAAGAAAAAGGGGGAGACAGGGATGGGGGGTTGTTGGTGGGAGTGCTGTTGAATACTAACAAACTTGCTCTCTCCGTGCAACAATAGAGCAGATGTCTTTCCTGATTCAGTGTGTCCTCTGCATGCAGGACCGTTTTTAAATTGTGGTTGCCTTTGTTGCTCCCTCTAGCTTTTAGCCCAATGATAAACCCAAAGGAGAAAGTATGCTTTACATTAGCGTAAAACTAAGATATATTTAGCTTTTCTTGCATCATTTTTGTAATTTAAGGGCATATAACCTGAATATATTTAGATTAGGTAGATTGTTGTACATGTATATCTTGACTTGTATACTTAAAATCACCTTTAACCAAAATAAATCTAGCTGTAAAATTGTGTATAATCTTCTACCCTGATTTCAAAGACTGTTTTTCGCAGGTTTTGTGTAATCTGATTACTTTGAAAAGCTTATTGAAACCGTTGAAACCTGGCTACTTAAGAGCATTTAAATAAGAGGATTATATAACAACTTTGAGAAAATACTAGTTTGCAAAATTCACCATGCATTTTTGTGTTTATGCATGTGTGTGTGATTCTTAAAAATGCATTTACATATGTTACTGTGTTTTGAGCACACCAATCCATGTTTTAAAGCCTGTCAATCTTCTGTACTATCTAATAGAATAGTCCTTTTTCATTTTATCAAGGCACTGTAAATTAGTAGGCATGTCATAACGGTTTTTAATATAACAAAGAGGGAATAATCTTGAAGTGACAGCAGCGAGCACCCATGGAGCTCCTCGGTCTCGCTACAGAAAGGTCAGTTACCTCCAGTAGCGGAGATCCTATCCGCATTTGGACACAGAGTCACAGCGGTTCAGCTACAAGCCCAGCATCGACAGGCCTTTGTCGTAATGAAGTGCCTTTTATCTGCAGCATGAGTAATGACATGGAGGAGAGTGCTGCCAGTGACACTTCTACTCGCCATCACAGGGCGAACGAGCAGAGAGAGAGAGTGGAAGGAGGAGAGAGATGTGAACAGGCCTGCTGACCTTAGCTGACCTCCTCATGAGCCGTAATGGAGGCGGAGACTTGAGTGTCCTTGACATTAGTTCACACGTGATTTATTCTGTGAAAAGGACTCGGTATGATTTTCAAATGCTAATGCCTTGGTTCAAGCAATAATAACTTCAACATGCTTATCTAGAAAACCATGAAACACTAACGGCTGTATGATAAATCTAGAAGTACTGTTAAAATGAACCAATATTCCAAATTAAGATTAGAAAATATCTGATCAAAGAATCTGTACAATTATTATTAATCTTATCAAACATTTGTCAATTTGAAAATGCTTATTTATTTATTGAATAGCAATTGAGGTTTGCCACATTAAAGGTAAGGCAACAACCTTTGTACACAACAGTGACATATTAACACCTTCTGAATCTAAAACCGGTATCTAGTTACAGCAACACCAGTGCCCCTCAAGGCTGCGTGCTCAGCCCTCTCCTCTACTCCCTGTTCACCCACGACTGCGTGGCCACACACAGCTCCAACACCATCGTGAAGTTTGCTGACGACACGACCGTCATCGGCCAGATCACAGACGGCGACGAGACGGCGTACAGAGAGGAGGTCGGAAAACTGATATCTTGGTGCCAGGATAACAACCTCCATCTCAACATCAGCAAAACCAAGGAGCTGATTGTGGACTACAGGAAGCAGCAGGGAGAGGGACACGCCCCCACGCCATCAATGGGACTGCGGTGGAGAGAGTCAGCAGCTTCAGGTTCCTTGGGGTCCACATCACTGAGGACCTGACATGGACTCTTCACGCCACCACCATCACCAAGAAAGCTCGACAGCGGCTCTTCTTCCTCCGCAGGCTGAGGAGGTTCAACATGGACTCCAGGATACTCTGCAACTTCTACAGGTGCACCATAGAGAGCATCCTGACTGGCAGCATGACGGCCTGGTACGGCAGCTGCACCGACCTCAATCGTAAGGCTTTACAGAGGGATGGTGAAAACTGCACAGCACATCACCAGGACGGAGCTGCCATCCATGGAGGACCTTTACTCCCAGCGGCTCAGGAAGAAATCCCTACGGATTATCAAAGACCCCCATCACCCCAGCCACAAACTGTTCTTTCTGTTGCCGTCTGGCAGACGTTACCGCAGCATCCTGGCAAAAACAAAAAGATTCGGAAACAGTTTCTTCCCGCAGGCAGTGAGACTGTTAAACAATTGAACTGCTGAAACAATTTCATAACATTCATCTGCTACTTAGTAATATATATCTACTATCTAATATATCATTCCAATAACTTGTATATAGACTCGTACTGCACTATTCCACTTTTTTTCTCTCTCACTTTATTTTAGAACTATTTTTCTTTTTGTATTACTTTTACTATCTGTATTATTATGTTGCATTGTTGGAGAAGCCTGTGACCTAAGATTTTCAACGACATAATTACTCTGTAGCTATGTTAGTTTGACAATAAAGAACCTTGAACCTTGAACCTTGAACCTTGAGCAGAGTGACATTATCATTTGCAGTCGTGTATTTTAGCTCTGTTTTGGTCTCCACCAAATGCTCTACTATGTTCACCAGCCAAACACAGCCAAACACATAGACAGGTGAAAAGTAAAAGTCCTGAAAAGTTAAAGTTTTCCTTTCTTCATGATACTGATTAATCACAACCACCTTCTGTCTAACCCCTTTGATTCACTGGAAAGATGCAATTATGTATTGCCACAAAACAGCATAATTTGACATGGGCTATATAGGCTATTTTGAGGTAATGATATCCAGTCTTATATATACATTTGCTTAAAATGTCAGTTTTGCATAGTGAGTTGCTTCAGATATGATGTTATAGTTTGAGAGGTTGTCATGTTTCATTGTCTTTAACATTCAGACTTGATTCTAGCCCCTGACAGTGACTGACACTGATTTGAACTGTGTGACACCGCTGCAGCTTCTGATTAGTCGCAGAGCTGTCACTTACTCTACCTGACTCTCTGCAGGGAAGCGCCACGTTATAATCATCACTCTTAATGTGCTCATCCCAATTATATCAGCATTGATTTGTGTTGCAGCATTTGACTTGTTTTTATCCAGCCATCTTTTTAGAGGAGTGTCTTAGCAGTGAACAGTTTGAACTTGAAGTGCTACTTTTGGATCTCTACACAATAATCTGATGCAAATATGTTGGTGTTGTGATGCAGTTACATTGTTGCAAGCAGGAATAGGGTATCAGATCATTACTGGACACTTTTGAAGGATGTCCAGGCTTTTCTGTGCTGCATTAAACCCTAGGGTTTCTCGAAAGGGAATGCAGAGTATTAGCAAAATCTCATTGAGATTTCAGCATATTTAATCCATCCTCTCTGTGAGCTCCTCTTTTAGCTGTGGAGGGGTTTATTCCAGACACTTCGGATAGCTCTGCCTGTGTATTAATATTGGATGAATCTGAGATATCTCTGGCAGGGTTTTAAATACATCTGAAGTACCGTCTGCTGGCAGGAATGATTTCTCATAGATAGTACATTTAATTTTGTTGTATCTGTTTTGGACACATATGTTTTTGATTTGTTGTTGTGGGTATACTTGCTGATTTTTGTTTTTCTCCTCTTCTATTACAGCGGGATGCAAAGGGATCGTATCTGTTTGACATCATCTGCCACCATCTCAACTTGCTGGAGAAAGACTATTTTGGCATCAGATATGTGGATCCAGACAAGCAGCGGGTAAGTGTGCGTGTGTGTTTGTGTGTGTGTATGCGTGCTTAAATGCATTTGCTAATTCATATTTTCATTCTTTTATAAAGCAGTTTAAATGATTAAGAAAAGAGAAGCATATCCATTCTATCGTACACAGTTGTATTCAGGCTATATTTAAAGGTGGGGTAGGTAATTTCGGAGAAACCAGCTCGAGTGCGCTAGAATTTGAAAATACACAACTGGAACAAATCTGCCACTTCCTTAGAGAGCCCCTCCTCCAACACACACGAACGCGCACATGACCAATGAGGGCACGAGATAAGTTTGTGCACAGATGGAAGGCTGACAGGCAGGTAGGCCATCCAGTTATTTTAGCCGGGCAGGCTAAAATGATTGGTTGTACTTTTTACAGTACTACTGCTTCCACAGATGACATTTTTTTATGGATTTTTTGTCAAAGCACTTAAGATATTCATTGCTATCGGGATGTTAAGAGCATTCCATGGAATATAACAAAAAGTGTATCTCGAGCCGGTTTCTCAAACTTACCTACCCCACCTTTAACTAACATATTATGGCTTTACTATCCAATGTTATAGTGTGTGTGCCTTGTTAATAATACAATTTACATAGTTCATTTCTTAATTGAAACCATACGTTTGCAATTTGTTTTGTTATCCATTGCATCCAATGTGTTAAAGCTAGAATAGGTCATATGTGTACTTAAAATGACTTCATACCCACATAACTGGGTTGCTTCGTGACCATCTATAAATCATATGTGTGGCTATACTTTTAAAAATGGATTGGCTTTGATTCATTTTGAAGAATGAGACTGCCAAAGTGAAAAGCTGTGTTCTTCAGCTTCTCTTATTCACAACGCCTCTCAGACGGACGGTAGCTCCATCAGGCTCTCCTGCTGTGAGGCATGTAGTAGCACTGCTGGATTCATGAAGTATTCACATGTTCACACACATGTTGTAGTCCTGCAGACAAGAGCCAGGTCCGGCTGATGCTGCATTTCCGACGCTATCACTCAGGACTATTTTGGTGGCTGTTGCTGTGGGTGGGGTTGGAAAGAAGTCAACCTACGAGAAATATTTAGAAAGAATATGCTTCCAGAGAGAAAGCTAACATTTATCGGGCTGCGGACACACAGAGAGTGTGAGACTGTCATCACCAGCAGCTCAGTGTTAAGTCTAAACCTGTTGTCTAATGAGCCTTCCTGCTCCAACTGTGTCTCAAGAGACCTCCACAGTCACATTTTCAAAAGAAACCCTGCTGAATATTAATGTGCAAAGCAGCTTTTGCATATTGCATATTTCTCTAACAGTGCAGTTTTAACATCATATTCGGCCTGACTAGGATTCCCCAGAAAACTGTCAGTAATAACAGCTGATCACCATGACAACTGATATTTTAATTGTCACCTGAATGTTTTGATTGATGGAGGAGAGAGGATTTTTTGTGTATTTTGTTATTTTGCATTCATCTTTTTTTTTCTTTCCAATGCAGCACTGGCTGGAGTGTTCGAAATCAATTGCAAAACAAATTAAATGTAAGTACTGTTTACGTTTATATAGAGGACGCCTGGATGATTGAATATGAATCTGCTTGTGTTTGAATCTTAAACAGTCCTGCTGTCTCCTTCGATCTCCTGTTGAGTGTTTTTATAACTTACCTACCTAATTTAATAGGTTTTCTGTATGTTTCCTAAATGTTTTGCTTATGTTTCCTGCAGCTCAGCCTCCCTTCACCATGTGTCTGAGAGTCAAGTTCTACCCTCCTGAACCTGCTGAGCTAAAGGAGGAAATCACTCGGTATGACCAGCTGTTGTTGCTTTCACTTTAGATGAAAGGGCTCTTATTCTGCTCCAGCTTACCTTCGTTCCAGTTTGATAAAAAGGAAGAAACATTGCCATCATTTGACAAACCACTGTGCTTCGTCCTTGTTTTTTTTATAGATGTTCCTGTAGTACAGATAGTGCTCTAAAAGTTTTACGCGGAGAAAACATGAGTCTTTCTAAATCTATTCATGGGCCTTCATAATTAAAAAGCCTGAGTACTTAACTGTCTAAAACATTATGATAAATATTACACAGAAGACAGAACACAGTTTTCAAGAGGAGTTGTGAAGCGGAGAGGAGAGTAAAACACTTCACTAGTAGCTGACAATGCGCAGAACATTAAATGCAAACACTTTCTTTCCATGGTAATTCTTCCTAAATTAGGTCCTGATAAATGACCAGAAACCTGAAACGGACAGGGTGTAAAAAGCCCTTAGTTTACACTGCCTCCAGACCACCAGATAATGCTGAGTAGCGATGTGTGTGTGTGTGTGTGCATGTTTACTGATACATTCATCACTGACATAAGGGAGAGGTGACCATTCTCTCTCTCTCTGTGCTGTAATGAGATGAAATGTGCGCCACATGTAGAGTGCTGATGCAGAGTGAAAAGGAAAAAGGATGCGAAAGTAAAAGGGGGGGGGGGGGGGGGGTGGCGGGGTGATACATGATGATGAGAGTGTGTAGAGGGCAGAACGCAGAGGGCGGGAGAGGGTAAATAATCAATCACATACAAGGTTCATTCAGTGGGTGCTCCCACTCATCATACTGTGCAGAGATTTATCTTGGACAGATTGTTAATGCCACATAAATAATATAGACACCAAAAAATGCAGCTTTTCCCATAAATTATTATGATGAAATTAATATTTCTGACTTGTCATTGTAGAAAAAAGCACAGATGTTACTCGTAACATTTATGATGCCGCTGTTTCAATTTCAGATTTCTAAACTGACCGTGTACTATTATATCTGTAAAGGTGAATATACTTCTGCAAATGTGCCATATCTGTGAGTGCCTTCATCAGCAGCAATTAACACTACAGTAAATGGCTGTTTAATTATTTCCCATTTATTGTATTTGTCAAACCTCTAAAAGGTTTCGTGCAGAGTGAGAAACGTGGGAAGTGTAAGCATCTTGTTAATGTGTTTCTCTGCACAGAAAGCAGTGTTATTCTTTGAGGAAATGGCCTAGATAGAGACAAGCTGGCTAATTCTGAAAATCAAACGAGATCCTGTTCGTGGTTCAGGGGTTTGTAAAATAAGAAATGTAATAAGTTCTCCTTGAATAGTGATCGTGATAATAATGTTAATAATCAGTCGTCATCGTCACCAACATGCTGCAGATGTTACCTCAGAGTAAATTGCATGCTTCAGGATCTCATTGGTTGGGTGAGAAACTAGGCTGGACGCTTTAAGAGAAGCACAGCAGCGTCAGTACTGTAGCAGCCTCTCCCTCAGGGCCTTCCTATCCTCCTTTCCCCAAAACAAAACCCTCATTTCAGTTAAATCAAAAAGAAATATTCAATCCTCCCATAGGGAATATGAACTCAACAGACTGCTGTGTCTTTACCTTTCTTTTCACTGAGAACTGTATAAGTAGTTTGGCGTATTTATGAATATCATTAGAATCTCATACCACTGTTGTCCTTTCCTCTGCAGATATCTTGTCTTCATGCAAATCAAGAGAGACCTCTACCACGGTCGGCTGCTGTGTAAAACCTCGGACGCGGCCATGCTGGCTGCCCACATACTTCAAGGTAATGGCGGGTGACAGATGGAAGTGACCTGCACCACTCTCCGCTCCACACTGTGTTCACGACCTCTGCTTTACCGTGCTCTGTAGGTCACCCCTCTGATTATTACTGCTCGCAAAGCTTATATATGTTTTTTTACGGAAAGATGCTGAATTAGGTGATGAAGAATGTACAGCAGGAAGGCTTTCAAAGGAAATGCCTGCAGGGTTTTTTATGCACACGGAAGATTGTCTACGCTTTAAGGCATGTACTAAGCATTTCACGCTCATTAAATTTGATTCCCATACTGATATTGACTCTGAAACTCAAAGTAAAAGGCTTTTCTGTGCTTTGTATGATAATCAGTTCATAACTTCCACAGTCTTTAATGAACAAGAGCCCATGATTATTTATGAAGTCTTTGAAGTCATTATCTGGCATCTTATCATCTTTTGCCTCACATATAAACATAAACAAACACAACACTCATGAAGTATGATGGTGGAAGCTTAGCAGAAGACACAGCATTTGAGGATAAGGAGAGCCAGGTCCTCTGAGGAGGGGCTGATGAATTAAAGATGGGCTGCATGGTCAGCTCCTCGCAGAGAGAATCAGCATCAGGGTCATCTGAGGGAGTGCAGTGTGGCACGAAGGAACACAAATCATCTATTTTCACCCCCAAAAGATGCACCTTGCTGAAAAATGAAGTCATCTTTTTAACTCCCCATGATTGTGTGTGAATGTGTTAAACATTTAACTTTTTCTTATCCTCCATCTAGCTGAGATTGGAAATTACGACCCTGGGAAGCATCCTGAAGGTTACAGCTCCAAGTTCCATTTCTTTCCTAAACACTCGGAGAAGCTGGAGCGCCGGATTGCAGACCTACACAAACAGAGCTGATGTAAGAGCCAGATTATAAAACCATGCGATCAATTTCTCTCTTGTTTTCACGTAACTATACCAATCCCGCTCCTATAGTATACCGGCTAAACAAACACCAGGCTATCTGTGGCATTTATGTCATTAGGTGCAGTAATGAGGCACCATTTTTACTGTAGTGAATTGGACAGAGTGTTGCTTATATGAGCAGAAAGCAGGGAAAAGCACTCTCTGACTGGCGTTTATTAGAGGTATTAGTGATGGGTCCTAGTTCCAGCTTTAACTGAAAGAGTAGAAGAGTCAAATAATGAAAGTGATCAGACAGATCAGACACACACACACACACACACACACACACACACACACACACACACACACACCATGTTTACATCACTTCAGGGGACATTACATTGACTTACATGCATTTCCTGGAGACTTATCCTAACCTTAACCATAACCAACACATGCCTAACCCTAACCCTTACCCTAACCCTAAGGGAGGCGAGTCCCCACACGTGACTGTGTAAACAGATGTAGGTCCCCACAAGGATAGTAATGCTAGGACACACACACACACCAGAAATCATTATTACTGTCACATGCAATGCAATCCAACTGATTATTATTTGCACTAATGAGTGTTTTATCACTCCTAATGTGAATAAGCTTCTGTGTTAATGATGTACAGTAAAATTCCACATAGACATTAACAAAGTTCAGTTTTTAAAGCTGTAGGAGCATAATGACAAACATCATTAGCCTCTGCTGCCCACTAGTGGTTTCCTCTTGCTTCACCACCAAGTAAACACTTCACTATGAATATTCACATTGATTTGACACCCTGATTAAACCAGAGTTAAAGCCAGATACACAATAACTGCTTTTTAAATATATCATGACATATTTAATTTGACCTTAACTGGTCTTTATAATAATGTATAATCTGTATTACCTCTGATTACTTCCAGTCTCTAAATGAATGTATCCAACTGTTTTATATGACTTGTTTGTGCCTTGTTCATGTGTCCTCTGTCAAGACTGACACAGATGTTTGGTGTGTTGTTGCTCTTCCTCAGTGGACAAATACCTGAAACATCAGAGCGAAATTTCCTGCAGAAAGCCCAGATGCTGGAGACATATGGCGTTGATCCACATCCATGCAAGGTTTTTCAAGCACTGCTGTACTATTTCTAGATAGTGAACATTCAAACATAGACATAGAGCAAATGCTAAAACATATGTAGTATCATTTTCTTTAATCATTGTTGAAATGTGTGTGCTCAAGTTCTACTTTGAATTTGTTCTCTTCCAGGATGTGTCTGGGAACCCAGCCTTCCTCGCCTTCACGCCGTTTGGTTTCGTGGTGCTTCAGGGAAACAAGAGGGTTCATTTTCTCAAATGGTGAGCCAAACATGCAAAACTGTTTCATGTGAGCCAGAGACAGAGCACTCCACCTCCTATTTGCAGGAAGTTAGATAGACAAACAAACACATACAGGCATAATATGCATTAAACAGCATGTGCACTACAGCTGGTTGTACAATAACACTCAACAAAGCTAATCCATCTGCCTCTACCTGTGAAGAGCCCGCAGTTAGTATGTGCACAGATGGCTAATTACAACAGTTTACGCCTACTGATTTGAATTCAGCCTATTGCTTTACTGATGAATTGAAAATATGTAGAAGATAGTGCATTTATTTTTAGCTTTCTGCTTGTAACTGAAAAGGTCCCTGTTACACTAATGAAACCAGACTTACTATGTTTGCAGTATTTATTCTGGCTCTGTTTGTTTGCCTTCAGCACGCTCAGGTTTCCCTCATTCTCCATTCCCAGTCTGCAGGGAATATTATCAGTTATTTGTTTTGTCAGCCAAACACAGAGCTCCGTGGCTGTTTATGTGATCTCAAAGTGGTTGTCATGAATATTTAAAGATGCTTTGTGGCTTTCTGTTTCTGCTTTGTTTCATCTGTGACGGTCTCTCCTGGACAGGCACGAGGTGACCAAACTGAAATTCGAAGGCAAGACGTTTCACGTTTATGCAAATCAGAATGAGGTGAGTTTAAGTATTGTTGCATTTGGGGGGCAGAGGGAACCCAGCACTGCATAATGAGTGTGGTTTTCTGTCTCAGTGTGTTATATTTTCCTGCAAATACTCTTTATTTCAATGTGCAGGACCAAAAGATCATCTTGACATACTTTGCGCCCACACCGGAGGCCTGCAAGCATCTTTGGAAGTGTGGAGTGGAGAACCAAGCTTTCTACAAGTAAGTCAACAAATCTCTTCTTCTGTTTATTTTCAATGTTCCTATTATTCTCCTGCACTGTCATGATTTAGTTGCCTGCTCTGCATCTTTGAGCGCTGTCGGGTTGTGTACCATCACGGTACCTTGCTGTCCTTAAAAGCCCAATCCCCTCGGGTTGTTTGTGAGCGGGGAAAATGAGGTGTGAGTTGCCCCTGACCTTTTGTTGAATGAGTGTTCGCTGGCACGAGACTGCAAGCACTTCAGTGCCCCCTCTGAGATATGCCCCCCTGTCTCGGGCCATGAATAATAGTGCAGGTCCCCTCTGTTCTCTGCAGCTCAGGAAAGGTAATTTAAAAAAAAAAACAAGTGAGCTGGCTGGCTTCAGAGTGGTGTTGTAATAAGTCGAGCTGAGGCTCAGGCGATGAAGGGTGCAAAGGCGGGGTTAGCATATGGAGAGAGAGAGAGAGGGCACGGGAAGGGCAGAGCTTAGCACCCATATTAAAGTTAATGTGATGTGACTTTTGATGATTATCAGCCTCCCGCTCATTAAAACCATACTGAGGGGAGTCAGAGGAACTGAAAGGCAAAAGGACATGTGATAAAGATGTCTTTCGGAGAAGCACACAAATCCCTTGAAAGCAAAAATGAAACATGAAACATTAATGTCTCACTTACTATGACAATATAAACATATTGAATACTGTATGGAGCGGATGATGCACAGCCTATACTGCGAGGAGAGGGCATGCATCATTTAACAGCAGGGGATTTGATCCTAGTTTCTGCTTGTTCTGGGATCCAGAAAGCAGGAAGTTCATATATTCACGCTTGAACTGTAAGATCATACTCTTGCAATAGTCAGTCAGGAATTGTTTATATTTTAAGTTTGTACTTACTGTTTTTCTTGTTCAGCTGCAGTAGGCTTCATTTCTCTTTCTCTTTTTTCAGGCTTGACAAGTCAAGTCAGGTTCGCACGGTGTCTAGCAGCAACCTGTTCTTCAAGGGCAGTCGTTTCCGTTTCAGGTAGAGTACACAACAAGACACTATGACTGATGACAGGGAGGGGAGGACACTGCAGAACACCCCCAGCTGGAAGTGGATAGAAGTGTTCCCAGAAGACGTGGCCTCCTGGCCCTCTGTGCTGTTACGTCAGCGTTATTTAGCCCAGAGGATAGTACTGACACCTCACAAGAGGACACAGAGGGGAAAACCAAAGAGATCACATGAAGCATTATCACCTTGATGTATAGCTAAGTCATTGTCCTTTTTTATTAAAGGATCAGGTCACATAAATAATATATATTTTTTAATTCTCACTTATCTTCTTGCCTGGTATTACAGTTTTTGTTTTATTTGCTCAGATTTTGAGATATCCAGCTAAAAGAATGTTGTAGATACAATTCAATGTTCAATGTTTTAACCATGGGTGTGCAGAATTGTTTTCCAGCTTTTAAAAATAAATAAATCCAAAAACCTTGCTTAATTTTCATTGGAACTCCTATATAGTAATACAATTAGCCCTAGTTAAAAATGGATATCTCAAAACCTGAACTGTCAAAACCAAAACTACTCGAGATAAATGAGAAAATAGATTTTAATTTTGATAAAATGGCCCTTTTTGTGTTTTAGGGATGTAAAGTAATTTTTAGAAACTGTTAGTGTACTATAGTCACAGTCAGTTACATTTTGAGTTTACTGTTGAAGGGAAAACCATGATCATCGTTATGATTTATTTGCCTGCAGGTCTGTGTGTGCATTTGTCTGAATGATAGTAATTCACTTTCACAAAGCTGAATTCACCGGGTTGATTCAATCATGATGCTCATGCAGTGTACTCATCCACTGCAGTGATGGCGTTCATGGCATTGGGTGACACCAGTGTGCCCTGTTACCTGTGTGTGAATGTGTGTCTGTGTGTGTATGTGTGTGTATGTGAAACTCATCCTGAGCATCGTCTCTGTGCTTTACAACAGTGGACGAGTGGCAAAAGAGGTGATGGAGCAGAGTGCCAAAATCAAACGCGAACCTCCAGAAATACACAGGTAGAGTTTTAAACTCACGAAAGCTCAGAATGTCCTCAATCAGATTTTTGTTTTGTTTTCCTCTATTTTCTTAGGCACCAAGCTACTGTAGATGTCTTTAAATCCCCAACACCTACACGCTACAGTATGACTTACCTCCACTTGTAGTGATCTCTCTGCAGTTACATTACTGCATCTGTATCTTTGTTGTTCTCCGCAGGGCTGGCCTGGTGCCCAGCAGAAGTTGTCCATCCATCACCCACGGGCCTCGCCTCACCAGTGTACCGCGCACACGTCGGAGAGCCGTGCACATTTCTATTATGGAGGGTAAGAACTGAGCTGCACTCCTACGCTTCTCCTAAGGCCTAAACACTTACCTGCTGGGGACAAATGTGTGTTTTACAAGACATGTATTCCGTAAATGCCTCACACACTGAAACATGTCAGACATTGCTGTTTTATGATTATTTTGAATTTATCTATACTTTTAGTGAAGTATACTGATTTGTTGGGTGTTAAATCTGATCAAATTGACCTTAATAGTTATACCAGTCTTCCTGGCAGCGGTTATTTTCTCACTCTTCAGATATAATTACTGATAATGCGTTACAACTGGCTGGTCCAAAGTCTTTCATGTATTAGTGAGCCTTTAGTCCAATTTGTGCCAACTCCTCCCCCTTCTTGAGAAAACATACTTCTGCCTACACACACATACACACACATGCTGTAACTTGAGTCATTTGGCCCACTTGATGCTTGCGGCCCTGGTGGGACACGCTGCAGGTGTGTACGTCAGCCTGCTCCACTTCAATGCACAGTTTCAGAGCTGTGTGTGTGAACTTTAGTGGTTGTTTATTTGATGGGCCAACACAGTGGCAGCTCACTCGTTCAGACCACCTGCAAACAGGAACAGGTGGCCTCATTGAGATGGGTGCAGCAGGCGTACAGTTCTCCATGGCTCTGGGTAAAAACAGCAGTGAGACCAATAGACTCTGCCTTTCAAGTACATACTGTACCTCTTTGTACAGGGAGATAAAATAGATGTCAGGAGCAGGTGTACTGTGTATATTGAGGGTCTTTTGCTGCTGGTTCAAGAGAGCCATAAGAGCTTCCCACCCCCAGTGTGTGCTGACTGGATGTCTTACAGTGGTATTAATACCCCAGCTGAAAATAGCCTGGGTCTTCTGCTCCATGTATGTCACTGGCCCGGGTGTGGCCAAAGCAGGCCAGACCAATGGTGACGATTGTAGCACTGCTGCAGAAACCCACCGTTTTACCTCACACACTCCTCTCCGCTAACCGCAACTAAGGCTGATCCCCTTGGCCCAACACACACTCACACACACAGGGAGACTGTGGCCTGGACTCCGGGACAGGGACCATAAGGACGGAATAAACACGTGCATGCCGCAGCCATGGTGAAGTGTCTGATCCGTATCACCACCCGGGTGAATGTCCACCTGCGTATGATCAACCATTGCTTTCGGGATGTGAAGGTTCGCGTGCTGAGCCTGGGGCCCCGTATGCTGGGCAAGGCCCTGGGCGTCCTCCCCCTTTACCCTTCCCTGACGGGGCAGGAGGAGTCCGCCAGCGTCACCCCTTTACCTGGCACTCCACTGCCCCCTGTTCAACCCAGCAACCCTCCAGGTAAACTCATCCCAGAGCTAGCCAGCGGTGTGCTTTACATGGAAGTGGCAATGGCTTTCTCAGGTTTAAATCAGTCTCTGCCTCAGCAATGGTGGTGTGGGAGCAACACCATTCCTCTGTGTGTCTGTGCCTTTTGGAGGGCTATAAAAAAACGTTTTTTTAGTTTGTTTTGTTTGTTGGTTGAATTATTTGTTGATCTTGCAGCTATATTTGGTTTCAACCAGTAAACAGTAAATTAAGAGGTGAAGTGTTTTTATTGGCATTTCTCTTAAAGTTAACAACTTGTGAAATAAAAATAAAAAAGTCATGTTTTTTCAGCTTGTTGCTTTCCTGTGGTAAGCTTAATGTAAGCAGTGGCAGATCAACACTGAGTCAAGATGGCCGCTGACAGTCACTCCGCTTTTATGCCTCCTTTTAGTTTGACAGGAGTTTAAAGTCAGCAGAAGCTTAGGCACCGGACATAATCGGTCCTACCTTTCCTGCAGTTTTAAAAAAAGTCCCTTTTATGATTTGCTTCCTCAACAAAAGATTAATTTTAATCTTTTCCATTAAAGTGAAGGTGTAGGGTTGCTCTGGAGAATGTGATAGGGTCAGCAAAGGGCTCATCCTCACTGACATGTACACTGTTGTGAGGCTCTCTCTCACATACTGTACTGTCACTTCATACTGCAGATGGGACTGTACAGAGACTTTTACATATGCAGATATACATTTCAGGTTTTACCATACCATTTCTACCATGGGAAGTTCCTGTTTCCCTTTGATATCTACAGTATCAGAACATCTTTGTTGGAAATGTTGCAAGTCAATAAGCGTCACTGTTTTATGACTTTTTTTAAGTTATGTGTGATTTTAGTTTCAATTTCATGAAGTATTTTGATTTGTTGGGTGTTACATCTGATGCAATTGGCCTTAACAGTTATACCAGTCTTGCTATTTATCCATATACAGACTTTCCTTCATCACAATATCAAATGGCATATACAGTAAAATAATATATTATCTTACCTCATTCTTGTGGATTTAAAATATGTTTGCCTGCCATTTCCTTTTGGTTGGTAGTCTTTGACTGTTTGGTGTTGATAAAAGCATGTTGATTTACATTTCTCAAAAAGCGTGAATGCCTTTTTTAAGTCTCTCTTAAAATAACAGCCACTTGACAATTTTTGGTTGCTTCAACTGCTCAGTGTTTATGCAAAACACTACGGCTAACTAGCTCTGTTAAACATGTTTGCAGGCCACATATATTTAGTCATATCATTTCAGCTGAACATTGCAAAAATTGACAAGACTGTGGATTTAGAACCCCTCTCCTTTTATATTGAATAACATTGGAAAGGGATGTCCTCCCAGCCAATGTTGACAGGTTATGGCTACGTCAATATTATATAGATATTGTTATATTATATAGATATAGTAAAGTGAATTCATTTAGTAAATTTAGCAGACTGTTCTAGCGCTTCAATTATTTCCCAGTTAGCCATTATGTCATAATTACTGATGATTATTTATAAAAAATCCCATTTTTGTGCTTTTAAAATATTTTTTCAAAGCACAAGAGTGAACCCTGCAATGTTTTTGCAAAATCGATATCAAGCTATTTGGTCAAAAAATATTGTGATATTTGTTTTTCTAGAACAGGGCTTGTCAGTTTGGTTTTAATGGTATGTAAGCATATCCTTGATCCTTCTGGTTTGTATTTATGTTTCATTGCAGCTCTGTTTAAAGGTCAAGCGTTCCTTTACAAGTATTTAACACAACCGAGACGTATCAAGCCATCTAATATCTAAAGTAGGATCATGGCTGTAACCTCTTTTTATTTTTAAGGATAAGGACTAGAGCTAGTCAAGATAAAGAGACGATGTTAACTAGCTTTTTAACTAACTTGTATTCTCTGCGGTTAAACTCTACACTTCCAGTACAAGTGAAACATGATGATCTCCTCCATTAGGGAGGATGATAAGGCATCACATCAGCTCATGAGCTTTCTATAAAACTACTATAGAGACTGTGTGTCTGTGCTCTGTTGCACAAACAGCAGAATTGACCTCTCAGCATTTAGAAGCAGATTTACAGAATAACGTGCCAGTGAACACCACACTAGTAGCTTATAGATTCTACATTTATAAAACACTTATCATGCTATAAAACGTGTGTAACATTCCTTTCTTCCTGTCTGTTTCCCTCCCGCTCTTCCTCCCTGAACCCCTCCCTCAGGTCTGGAGTCGTTGCGTGACAGTGCCCACTCCACGCCAGTGCGTTCAGTGTCCCATGGGGATTGTTTCATGCCACGCTCCCGGAGCCAGGCCACAGACGCCAGTGAGAGGACTGCGGTCATCTCTGACGAGGCGTACAGCCCCTCCGACAGCGTGCTGCCCACCCCGGTGTCCGAGCACAGCGCGGAGCTGTCCGCCTCCCGCCAGACCAACGGGGCGCCTTGCAGCATCGAGGAGGAGAAGGAGTCGGAGGCAGGCACCCCGCGTGGGGATGGGGGAGATTTAGGTGCGGAGGGTAAATCCGCACAGGAGGGTGCTGGGGGGGACTCGACCCTCAGCGAGGTGGAACAGGTGAATACATTTGTCTTAAGCGTCCTGCGTTTGCTCCTTGTGACCATCGGACTCCTCTTTGTCTTGCTCCTCCTCCTCATCATCCTCACAGAGTCAGACCTTGACATTGCATTTTTACGTGATATCCGCCAGACCCCCGAATTTGAGCAGTTCCATTTCGAATACTTTTGTCCCCTCAGGCGGTGGTTTGCCTGCAAGCTCCGCTGGGTGGGCGGGTTGCTCATTAACAAGTGAGGGGAGGTCGTAGAGTTCGTAAGCCCGCTCGGGGTCTGAGGTGACGGTTAGGACTCCGGAGCGATGAAGGGCAGCCTCGGCCCCAACATGAACCCTGCTCCTCATCCTCCTCCTGCAGACACAGCCTCTCACCAGGCAGGATCTCTCCTCCTCTCCTCCACTTTGATTTAACCCCCCCACCACCCAACCACCTCCTAGTTTCGCTTATTTTCTTCTTCTTTTTTTTCTACAAAACCAGAGGACAAGTTTTGCATTTTTTTTATTTCAACTCATTTCAGGTATTTTATTTTTTCAAATAACACAAAGGAAAAAAATTAAAACTGGAATCAAAGGACTGGAGATGTTTAAACAGTTCCTTTTACAAGGACTGGAGAGTTGCAACCGATGAGCGTTGCCTTCAATTATTATTTATTGTTTTAAACATGTATTTGCATAAGAGAAGGGAAAGAGATACACAGCAATCGAGGAAGTTGATTTGTCATTAAATGAAGATGGAAGTGAGTTATGTCAGGGTCGATACTGCTCTGAAGAATATATGAGGCACTGTATGATAATATCGTTTGATATTGGTTCATCCCCATCAGATGCATTTAGACAAACGGCAGATTCAACTCAGCGAGAAAAAACAGAACAATCTGAAGGGAATAAAAATGAAGGTTTATGAAACAGAGAGCAGACGGGATGATTACCAAATGCCTTTTTGAGAAGATGTTGATGATTGAAAGTTGTTTTAAGACACCATTACACTTTAGTATACAATGGTGAACAAAGTAAACTGATGAAGAACAAGGGTGTTTTTCTAACATTTTATAGGGATACAGTAAAAATAAACCAGTACCAATAGTGTTATGTGACCCAGTAGTGTCAGAAGCAGTTAGAAGAGTATTCAGAAAGATTTGCTGGCACCATAGATTATAGTCTAGATAGAGGTGCAATGCTCATATGGTTTAAATAATGAAGTACTTTTGAATGTGGTCATTTGTTCAGTTGTTCTCTTATTTCTCCATTTAATTTGATTTGCATTTTTTCATCTAGTTGAAATTCGATGAATTTCAACAATTTCTTTGTATGAAGAGTTTATGATTTATTTTGGTTTCATATCAACCTAGCTCTTAGGTTTATGTAACATACTATATATTATTATTATTATTAGAATAAGAATAATGATGTACTTTTTGTACAAATTAGTTTGTTTCCTAATATATATTGACAGGTTTTCCATGTATATTTTAACAGAACTGAAATGTTATTTTGTTATTGAAGATTAAATTATACCTTTTTTAGCGCTGTGTAAGGTCAGAAGTATTTATGGAAATGTGGAAGTGGGGACTAAAGAACAGGGTTTTTATCCAGATCCACTGAACACTGCTCACACCTCGTATCGCTCCACCAGCAGTCAGTCAGCAATGTAAATAAACATGTCTCTACGAAAGGAAATCTGCAGATATCATTATACCACCACAAATACCAAATAATCCAAAAGCACATTTCCACCTTTCATAACTTTACAATATGTATTTTTTACTTGAAGAGTTTAGAGAGGTGACTTCTAGCCTGACCGATACCGAGTCTTTTCACTTATTCCTTAAACCCATGGCCTATACTCAACGTCACAATCATATAAATAAAATATTGACATCATTACTAGAGCTGAAAAACATATTTTGAAGATTTTCTGATATCTTTTATTCCATTATTGTTCATTTAATTTATTTAGGTTTTGTACAGTAGGTACGATGAAAGTTGCTGTTGGTTGGGAGATTTTCACTATTTTCTGACATTTTATTGGCCAATCAATTAAACTAGAAAAGAATGGACAGATGAAGCGTTATTTAAATAATTGTTAGTTGTTGCCCCGAACAAAAGTGTGTCACTAAAAGACTGAGAATTAATAATGAAATGGGCCAGGCAGGAAACTGCATAATATAAGTAGGACATTCTAAAGGTTTCTTGTGCAGATTTATTTTCTGAATAATGCAATTAAATTACTTTCCTGGAATATTATATCAGCCAAAACTAAATCAGGCACCAACATATCTGAAAAGCGCATATCGGCGAATAATATCTGCCCTTAGATTTGTCGGTCAGGCTCTAGACGCTTCTGCCTCTCAGCTCCAGGAAGCAATAACTGCGAAGGCTGCTGGATTCTGGGTAAAATCAGTTTTTTATATTGCGTGTCTACCTCCTGCACCAAGTGCAGGTGTAAGTGTTACTCTGTCTGTGTGTAGGAATGGAAACAGGGCTCAAGGTGGTAGTATTAGATGGAGAGGAGTACAAATAAAAACATGTACAAAAGAGCATGAGAAGGACTAAGAGGGAAGAAATGAAATGAGGTAGATTAGACTGAGAGATATCAGAGGCCTTTGGGAGAAGCTCTTTAAAAGTGTGATTTAAGAAACAGATTGGGAATGAAAGGCACTCGGTGAGTCATCACTCCAATGACTGTACAGGGTTGCTTGTTTTGGCCTGCTATCTCCAAGCCGACCCTCTCCTACCAGCAGCTGCCCCACTGAAGTCCCGACGGTGCTACCTTCCTTGTTGCTCCTGAGTAATCCGAGCGTGTCCGTCCGGGGCTGAGTTGTAGTCCTGACCACAGAGTAGCATGCACTTTGGCGTTGTGGCTGGATCCACTCCTGTAGCTTGTTATCCTCCACCAGTTGTCTGTGGTCGAGGGAGCAGCACCGACATTTCCCAGCGGGACGCTAGAGGGAATATAAAATCATTAGAGCTATGTTGGCAAGAAACCTGTCATACATACATTGTAGGAGCTTATTGATGTCAAGATAATAATGTGTAACTTGGATACATCCAGATAAATAGCAATGTGGAGATGAAGCACATTTTCCCAACGGGATGGAGAAGGGTGGGCGTTCTTCTTTGTGTACATTCATTCTTCATATTTATGACTTCTTTACTGACATACAGGTCAAGGGGATGAGTTGTTAGCAGGACATATTCAAGGTCAGTCTGCAAAGGTTCATACATTGATCAGCATTATGTAGCTTTAGTGGTCCCTCTGAACATGCAACAGTTTAAAAAAAAAGGCAGCATTATTCAAAGAGCAATAATCAGCTGTACGAGGATATACAAACTTATGTTTGAAAATGAGTAAGTCAAATACGTCCTTTCTGTTTCTAGAAAATCACTTACCAAATTGCTGTTGTGCTGACTCTAACAATGAAGTGACCACTGAGACACGTAGTTACTGTTGCGGTCATGGATAACATTTTCTAAAAACAAATGTTCCTTAAAAACCTCTGTGTGGATGTTTGTTCTGCTGTTTTCTTCGCTGTTTCATTGTTAAGTGACGGAGTGTTTCTTGTGCCTGGATCCTAACTGCAGTTTACCAAAGTGACAAAGATGAAGGAATGGAGAAATGAAAGACACAACATCTTTAACAACTGTACAACAGACTGCTCCATTCTTAAATCTCCCAGGTCGAGAGGGAAACACATCTGTGTCTGTCTTAATTTGTCCTTTTTCCTCTGAAAAACCTTTCACAGGAAAGCTTTCATTTTACATTTCAGTGTCATGTTTACATTATTTTACTGTTATTTTACTTCATGGGATATGTTTGCAGTTCTGATCAGATGCTGACTTTTGATGAACAAGTGTTATTGTCATCCATGGTTTACAGATCAGAAACAACTTGTCCGTCTCTTAAAAAAGCAGCAGTGAAGGTACAGCCTTCCAATACAATGTGGTGCGTTGAAGACAATGCATTGATTCTTGTTTGAATATAATACACAGGGGATAGACTAAATAACAGAAACACCCACATTATATAATGTAACAAACAAGAAGCAGACCCTACTTATAACATTTCACAAGGCGTGTCAAAGGGATGTTACGGGGCTTTTCTAAGGTTGTACTGTGAGGTGTTTTTGTTATATGGCCACTCCCTACGTATTTATAGCAATCATCTGAAATCTCAATAAAAGTTTCAAAAACCAACATAGGCAATGTATGACAAAGGAAGGTTTTCATTGGTCATCCTTCAATATTTTTGTTACTAAGGTGTCGATTTTTTTAATAACATATATCCAGTTAATATGATAGCAATCAAATGATTTATTCACAATTGGTTACCTTGATTTAACTCCTGGCCAAAATCCCTGCCAGATCATTGTGGATGATGCATGTAGAACTGAGGGGTTGACATTTGGAAGTATTCATAACTGAAGACATCTGAATCTGTTTTTTGGCCATCAGCTCGCAGTAGACCCTCACACAGTGCATACACATCACTGCAGTTAATGTATATACATATTCAGATCAGGTGGTGTTATGTGGTCTGCATTGTTCTATCCTGAGTGTAGATCATTTAATTGCATTATATATACCAGTATAAATATATATAAATCCATGTGCCAAATCCAGTTCTTGTTCAGTCCAATCCATTCCGAACCCATGTTTGTACTGTAGGTTACCTCCTGTACAAGTCAGTATAAAATATTGTTTCTCTCCAATAGTCTCTTGTAACTGGTGCCATTCAATTCAACTATTCAAACTTGAAATAAAAATTGAAAAAGAAATGCATTATGGCTCTGTGGCTTTGTGGTACCCACACAAATTCAGCACAGCTTGCTCTTATCTACTGAAGAAAATCATCTGAAAGTGTTAAATTAGTCTTTAATACAAAAAAAGAAGGATTTCCATCAAAATGGACAGGTCAAAATGAGAATTACAAAAGTAAATAAAATATCTGGACAAACACTATGACAACAACAACAACAACTGTACAAAGCATAAATATACAACCTTAGCATTATCAATAACAGGTAAATACTTTACAAGAATGACTGATAACAACTGGTTTCAAAGCGTCAGATCCAGAGGCCAGTCCTAGCCCAGGTGTGAAAAGGCTGGTTTCAGGAAGGGTCTCTGGTAGGTTTGAGGGGTCGGGATGGCCATGAACCCCGGGGTCCGGCCTGCTGATGCAGCTCCTGCCGAGCTTCTGCCCCCCCGGCCTGCAGCAGCTTTATAACCCCCGCTGGAGTTCGACGATGACCACGCCTTATTGCCGCCATTGCCACGACTGAATCCGCAACACAGCAAGACAGGAGGAAAAGAGGAAATAAGTTTCAACTGTAAAGAGAAGCTTAGTGTTAAATACGATCCTCAGCTACACGATAGAATGTGAGACAAACACAATACAGACCCTTTCGAGCCGGCACTTGGGTTGCCATAAGCTTTCTTCTTCTTAGCATATTTGAAGAATGGCGCTTTCTTTCTCTTCCGCCCCTGAGCTGACTGACTGCCGAAGTAGGTGGAGGACTCTGCGTCCTCCTCGTCCCCTCCGTATGAGCGGCCTTGTGCCGTGTCTATCCAGCCGTCTGCAGCGGTGTCAGTCGGTTCCTCTATTACAGAGACAAAAGTAGGATCAATGTGCAGAAAAAGTCAAAGTAAATGTGTTAAAAACCAACTTAAAAATGTAAAAACTTGAAATGGCTCTCTTACCCGTCTGCTGCCACTCAGAGTATTTCTGTAGCACCTGGATGACTTCGGCTCCGTACTTCTCCAGCTTGTCTTCCGTCACGCCATCAATTTGTAGGAGGACTTCAGGGTTGGAAGAAAGCCTCTCTGTTGGAAAATGTCAACAAGTTAGAAAATGCTTGTGGTATCATACAACAGATTTAAAGCACAGTTTTAACAGTTGTTCCACAAATTACCAGATATCTTTTTCAAGGTGGCGGTGGAGAAGATGTTGTAGTAGTGAATGCCAAAGGCCTTCCCCAGCTTCTTGCACAGATCCAGCAGCTCCTTCAGACACTCCTGCACCTTCTGCTCTCTCTGGGAGACGTCCTTCGACACAGCACCTTTGTGTTTCCTGATGCTCGACGCACTCTCCGTCTCGTAGAACTCCACCTGAGATCAGACATGTGCTGGTTAGTGGTTTGAGTGTTTAAATGTTACATATCTAGCTCTCTAGGGTCGTTATAGATCACCTGCATGTTTCCTGACAGCACGTTCATGGCTTTGTCTCCGGCAGAGATATACGCCACAGCCTGGCCGCCTTGAGTGATGTACAGATCCTCCATCAGGATGTTGTCCAGAACAATTTTTTTGAAGAGTCGGTCAGCATTGTGCCTGGAGTAGGCTCCTCCTGTCCCGAACATTCCCGTCTGCACCTTGGCAGTTTTAGACCCTGACGGAGAGAAACAATTCTGTGCATCAGATAAATCCCAGTTCCTGCCACATGAAGTATAAACATCACAAGACACCGTGCAGGATTCACTGGCAAAATGGCTTTCATTACAGGCATGTGCAGGTACTTTACCTAAAAAGATTTCCACCAACATGTTCAGTGTTAGTCTGGTCTGCTGAGCGGTCCGGCCAAACCTTTGTCCGACTTTCTCGCAGTTCTCCTGGACAAACCTCACGATCTTCTTCACATCATCAGAGACATTTCTCACTTTGTATTGCTGTACATGGGGATAATCAAACAATATTGCTGGATTAGACAAAACTGCCGAGTTGAGTTTGGATTTGCTTTGTAACAAATGAAGAAATTAATGACTCCTACGTTGGGTTTGGCGCAGTTGTCACAGCTGACGTCTGGGTGCTCCTTACAGAAGCTTCGGTTGAAATTCATCTCCCCGAAGTATGCGAGCAGCTGAATTCTCCTGCACTCCATCAAGTTCTCACAGAAGTGCACCATGCTGTGCAGGTTGTTCATATGAGTCGCCTTGGCCTGTCTGTCCCCTTCTTTGTCCACTGGGATTTTAAAAAGAACGAGCAATATGAGTCAACATGAATAATATATATATAATAATAATACATTTGATTTTTATAGCGCTTTTCCTAATGCTCAAAGAGATAGTCATTTGGAAAGTAAACATGAAAACACCCTGAAATATTGTATAGGCTGGAGAAGAACCTTATAGTTTCCACATGTAAAAAAACATCCACATACATTTTGCATGCAATACGAGGGGTCTATATTTTTGCAACATACAAGTGAGAATCCTCTTGATGCGGTGCACGTCGGAGTAGGAGTAGAAGAGAATACAATGAGAGATGTCTCCGTCTCTGCCCGCTCTCCCTGACTCCTGGTAGTAACCCTCCACTGACTTGGGCAGACTGGCGTGGATCACATAGCGCACGTCAGGCTTGTCAATGCCCATGCCAAAGGCTATGGTGGCACAGATGACCTGGCACACAAGAATACAAAATGTCCATATTAAAATCTTGCTCTTGTAAGACTTGAAAAGTGTTCATTGCTTTGTATCCATTAGTGCTCTTCAGGTGGTATCAGTGAGCGAGTGGCGACTCACCTGGCAGCCGTCCTGGTTGATCCACTTGGACTGCACGTATTCTCTGTCGCTGTCTCCCAGGCCTGCGTGATAGGCCAGAGCTAATATGTGTGATCTCTGCAGACTCTGAGCCATGTCATCACAGTCCTTACGGGAGAGGCAGTACACAATGCCAGAGTCTCCTGCAACAGGCAGAAATGCAGCTTAATAAACAAAAGACAGAGGGGGGTCTGCAATCACTGACAAAATATTCACCAATGTTCCTTCATTTGTTACAAGAATTCTTCCAAAGCAATTGTACGTTTGATTTTAAATTATTTCTAATACAAGCTCAAAAATAAGACATTTTATATAACTGTCCTTTCAGCATTGCTTGGATATGACAGACCTCAGAGTGTGTTCGCAGACAAATATGAGTTGAGTTGACACCAGGACAGTGAAGTCAGTTTTCTAAAAATAACCAGGATCACAAAAAGTACTTCTGAATTATTTACGTGGGTAGTTCTTCTTGATCCACATGGTGCACTCCTCGCCAACCTTTTTGGGTTTCTTGGGAAGGACAGTGTACTTGAGGTTTGTTCTGTTGAAACTCATGGTGAACCTAAAAAAACATAGAACACAAATATTAAAATAGAACCCATTTAAAAGTCTGACAGAGGCAGAGAGGAGCACGTACACCTGCGGCCGCGTCATGTTCAGCTGGTTGAGGATGTCTTTCTGCACTCGGGGGGTGGCAGTGGCCGTCAGCGCCATCATCGGGACCTTTGGGTACTTCTGACGCAACTCATGCAACCTCTTGTAGTCCGGGCGAAAATCGTGACCCCACTGAAATGTTCAAAGTCGCAGGTTGATACACAATGGCTGTTGCAAAGATCAAAGCATACTGCAGATGGTGTAGGAGGCAGCTGACACACACCTGGCTGACACAGTGGGCCTCGTCTATGACAAAGCGGGTCAGGAGGCCTCGCTCGTACAGGTTGTGCAGGGCGGAGATCAGCTTGTTACTTGCACACAACTTTGGGAATAAAATATCATGAGTAAACATCAGAGATACTACTCCATTTATTGTAAACAAGCAATAAATTATACAAAATTGAGAGCATAAATCAACAATTTCTCACCTTCTCAGGGGTGACGTAGAGAAGTTTAATGATGGGGTCTTTCCGTGAGAGCTGCATATAAATCCTTCCGGCTTCACTGTCAGTTATTGAACCAGTCAGGGTCGTTGCTGGGATCTGAAATGTAAGACGTAAAAAAATACTTAATACACATTATGAGTATTTGATATGGATCTAGTTGATCAACAGGAGGAAACATACTTACATCAAGAGTAGTGAGTTTCTGGACCTGGTCTACAATGAGTGATTTGAGAGGGGAGATGACCACAGTGACTCCTGGTAACACGCAGGCAGGCAGCTGGTAGCACAGGCTTTTACCCCCACCTAAAAATGCATCATTCACAGAGAAATGTGGACATTTGTTCTATATTTACCCTAAATATGTTGCCGAGATAAACTTGATTTGTAACTTCAGATCACCACGTACCTGTGGGCATCAAAACAAACGTGTCTTCAGAGAGAATTGTTGCATTAATTGCTTCTAGCTGATTAAACCTGAACTGATGAAGACCAAAGCGCTTGTGAAAAATCTTCATCATCTCCTGTGAGTGGGGGAAGTTGAACCCTCTGAAGCGATCATGGGCTGGGTTTCTGTAGTTGGGTTCTGAATGGGAAAACATTCATAGTGAGTCAATAAAATGCAGCACAAACCATCAGGCTAATCAGGGCAGGACTTCATCATCATGTATACATCATTTCTTTAGGAGTTAAGCAAAGAGTCCTTATGCCTGCTTGGATTTATAAAGAGTATAATAAAAAAGTAACCACCATAGAGGAAGATCAATTCTTGCCGTTTTAAGTTTGCAATAATATATTCAAAGATTATAAGTTATTTCTATAAAGCTTGTTGGACACATTCTTCGACCTAAACACTAGTACAAAGAATGATATACATTACTAACTAATATTCAAAAATGCATTTCTCTGAGAATTTGCAAACAGTTCATTTCCCACCAAAAACATTTCATTGTTGAAGTACATGATATCATGCCGTGCAGATTTACCAGGGGAGGAGACCTTTGGAGTCTTCGGTGTGGGAGCAGGTGTTGTTGGTTTTTTGTCCCATGAAGACTTGCTGGGTCCCCCTTCTTTCCCTGTTGTTGTCACAGAGCTGGAGTTTTGAGATTCTTCAAAGTAATCAGGGATATCTGACTCATTAAAATCATCTATGTCAAAGTAGTCATTGTAGAAGTCATCGTGCTCCATGTCTTCTGCAGCCGTGCTGGCTGCTGGTGTCTTAGGTTTGTTCTGAACTGGGTCTGGTCTTTTGGGAGAGAAGAAGAGATCTGAACCATCCAGGTCTGTGCTTGTTTTGTTCGAGAAATTAAATGCTGGGCTTGCGAGGCTGTAGGTAGATGGACACAAACTCTGATTTTTCACATTTATTGTCCCGCTGTTTTTACTGTGCAAGGCCTTCTGGTTGATAATACTGTCAGAGTGATCAGAGTCATAGTCCCCAGAGATAAGTGAGGATCTCCTGAGCTGAGAGGGCATCTGAGGGTCCGCGGGCGCTGAGCTGCTGGACGACATAACGCTAGACGTCTCACAGCTCAAAGACAATCTTTCTTTAAAGCTGGGTTCAGAAATCACAGTGCTGTCAGGCTGCTGGAACGTCAAGGAACTGCCACCGCTATTTACAATAATCCTCTTCCTGTGAGAGAGAGGCAGATGATTGTAGTCATATTTAATATCACGATTAAGAACAAAGCTGTTGATACTCAAATGTACATACCTTTGAGCCCTCTTCAGCAGAAGCTCACTTCCACAGGACAGACCTATTAGTTCATTATCAGGGATGGTGTCAACCAGAGAACAAATAGACTGCATGATACTGAAGAGTTGCTCATCTGTGAGGCAAAGAAAGAAGACAAATAATAAATGGAAATTAGGAACAGGGTGTTGATTTGCTAAACAAAATATGCACAAGTCTAGACACAACAGAAATGTGAAACACGTACTTGTATTGTCCTTTGAGTGGGTGTTGGAGGGTTTAAGTAGTGTTGTGCTGGGTCCCTTTGATGGCAAAGGACGGTCTTTGCTTACAGCAGCAGCTGATTTAGACCTGTGTGAAATAAAACTAAATTATGTATTTATTTTTGTTAATTCACTTTCAGGTGAAATCCATCTTAAATCTATGTCCAAAACGCATTATACACTTATGATGAATATTTGAATAATATAAGGTTATAGAAAATACCCACAAGTAAAAACATGATGTGTGTTGAAAAAACTAAAAAGTGAACACACTGACCTGGTCTCCAATGCAGAGGTAGAATAAGAGATATCTTCAGGGATCGGAGACGGGGGAATATAATCAAGATCATCTTCAGGCTCTGAGTCATTAATCTTTATTACCTTTGGGTCAATCCATTTGTTGTTATCGCCTAAAAGACAAAAGATAAAGAAGTTTGGTATAATTCTATGCTTTCCAGACCCATAACATCCCCACAATGTTCAAATTAAATCCAAATGCTGCATCACACAGCTTCTTACCTGACATTCCTTTAAAGGGCTCAAGCACTTCCTGGTTGTCCTCTTCATTGTCACTAACCACAGACTTCCGATGAGCCCGAGGTGGTCTTCTGGTCACTCTAACCGGAGGGGCCTCGTATTCAGTCTCTGGGGATCCAGGTCCTGGTGAAGCTGCAGTTTGGTCCAAACTCTGCTCCATTTGATCTGTTTCCATGTGAGTTTGTTCACTTCTGGAAAAAACATTCTTGTTCGCTAAACTTTTTTCTTCACTTAGGGAGGACGGTGGATTTGCGCTCTTCCCGGACATCTCTGAACTAAAAGAGTCATTTTTTGCTTTGACAGGTGTCTCGAAGTCATCCAAATCATCCCAGTCATCCATCAGGAATCCAAGAGAAGCATCCAGACTTGTGGGAATGCCTCCATTGCCACTTGTCTGATTGTCAGATTTAGTGGGAGCTGTCATCACCTTAAAAGCAGACCCAGCTGGAGAGGTCTGGCCTGTTGGGCTGATGGAGTCCGACTTGCCTTTTGAACTTACAGGGAAGAAGCTGTTGATTTTGGACTTTTGAGGTCTCTCAAGCTTTTTTGAAAATGTCAAAGGAGATTTAGTCACCAAACTGTTATCAGGTACATTGACATTCCTGTTTGCCAAAACATTAGAGCTGATTACCTTAGTTGGCACTACCACCTTGGTTGTACCTGATGAAGACTTCTTCTTGAAGGAGAAGGCCCTGAAAAATAAACCAGTGTGAAAATATAATTTGGTTTAATATGATTCCCATTAGCTACAGCATTGCAGCAGCTTTCATTCCTGGGGTCCATACACAGACTTACACACCATGACAGTATAAACAAGACAAGACTAAAGCACACAAACACACATGCTCATGGGAATTTAATAAAGCAAAGTAAAAAAAAAAGTTGCCTTTTTACTTTAGTATTCTCGGTACACCCACCTTACACTTCCAAAAGGATCAACTCAAGATTGCATTAACAGGATAGACAAAATTCAATTGTAGTGTTGTCAGTTGTCACATATTTTTCTTATATGTGGAAACTTTTGAAAATCAATTTTCTCCATTTTCCTTTGTATCTCAATTCCTGATAAAAAATAACAGCTGAGAGTAAAACCGTTCAACAATAGTATTAGTTTAAGCATTGACATATTAAGACAGACAGAGTATCCAAAGACTCGCATGTTGGATTTGTCCTTATTGTCACATTTACTTTACACTGCAGGTGAGGGAGCTTCAGCCACAGGGTTTTAGGTTTTAGATCAGATCAGTAGTTAGAAGTGAGTACAGATGTACATCATTTTCTGATTTGTTTTATATTTGATAGGTGCTCAGTTAGTCTGCATTATGAGTTAGCATCTGCAGGACGCACTACACATATTAGTTTAACAGAGGCACTTAACTCACATTTGGACTCTATGTAGCAGCATGTCTTGCTAGAAACATGTTAATTTCACACAGTTAACCATTTTAGTATCCTCCATTCGCTATCTGTAAGATAATGAAATGAATACTGTATGAAACATGTCTTGAATTGAAACTCTGAAACTACTAATTCTGGATACCTCAACTTAATGAGCATTTTTTTAAACAATATATACTGTTTTTTCATTAGTAACAGAGCTATGACAAAACGTCACTGCTGTTGTGTTGAAAACATGCTAATGCTAACAGTGTCTATGTGTTAGCAGAGCTGACAGCTCAAAGCTAGCCGTTGGCTGGTAAACTTACCCGGGTTTTGGTTTAGACAGAGACAGCTTGCTTTGAGCAGCAGTGCTGTGCCTCGCAAGCTGCTCCTCCAAGTTATTTTGTGGAAGACTAGACATTGTTGAGCTAGCGAGTGTTAGCTAGCACAGCAGTCGGAGCTCAGTTCACCAAGATAGCAACAGCTAGTTTCTTCAACATAGCTCGCGACACGGGGTGAGACAAGTGGCAGCACGCTCGCGCTGAGTTTGTCTTCCAGGTTGGTTGTAATTCGTTCATTAAAACTACACCGTTTTCTCGCTTAAATATACTGTTACGTTTACTGTCTGCAGCAGTCGTGTAGACAAGAGACAAACAGATTTTGCGCCCATTCAACAACTGACTCCTTATTGGTCGAGGTCGCGCAGGAGATGAGGATTCTGGGAAATGCAGGCTTACGACATGGCACCTAAAATCTATTCCTAAATTATTGGAAACAAATAGTAGAAGTCGAAGTGAAACTCAAAAACAGCAGTTTGATTATTTTGTGTCAGAGTGTTAAAACAATTGTGTGTTAATGTATGCACTCTCTTTGAGAGTTGTTTTGAGTAATCACAGATTGTTCCCTTTACGGTTTATTGTTGTACTTTCTTTATTACTAGTCTTCATATTTGAACATCTTGCACACAGATGTAACAGTCATAAAAGACTCAAAACAAAAAAAACGCAATAGATTTTATTTATTATTTCAGTAGAATTATTTAAATGATGGATACTTAAGTGATCATTTTTTATTTGTAGATTACATTTATCACAGTACTTCACTGGGGCATAAGATTTACTACATTTTGCCCACTGTACATGGACACACAGTAAGCTAGTGATTGATATTTAAAACACTATTAAAGTATTGTAAAAAATATGTTGCTCCCTTTTCAGCCCTTTTGTAGTTTGCTTTCATGCAGGAATCACACCACTGGGAAAGACGAGCAGGCAGCAAGTCCACACATGTTCTTCTCACGCTCAATGAGGAAATATCTGTAAGAGGAGAACATTGTTGATATCATTCTCTGTTTAGTATACATTTAGTTATATTTTACCTCATGTGATTAAATAAAAGACTTACCCGTCAACCCCCCAGCGGGATCCCCATGAGTTCTTTACTATCCAGTAAGGGGTGCCGTCCTGCTGTCCGTACCCTACTGCTAACACAGCATGGTTCACCATGTCTGGGGTTTGGTGGCATTCAGTGCTAAAAATAAGGAAGATAAGTGAGTTAGAGCCATCTTAATACAAAGACTGTTTTGATAAATAAGGAGGAAGTGAACCATTTTGCGCTCAAACAGGAACTTAACTGACAGGAAATGCTTTTGGTGCTTTATATGCACAGACATAATGTGTGTTTTTAAAGTAGTTATTTACAGGACATAATTTCCAAATCCTTATTTATGGGACAGTTATAGTTGGAGGTAAATGTGGCTTTTTCCTCACCACTCATAGTTTGGCTGGTTGCATTTCAGGATATTTAGTTGTATTTGATTCTAATAAAGTAAGGAGCAGTGCATTGTTGATGATCTCACAAGTAAAAAGTCACACTATTTATGTGTTTGCATGTTACTAAATTAAATTACTTGAAGAAAAAAGGCCTTTTTCTTACAATGGTTATAGTTCCCTCATTTAAGATATACATGTTACTAAAACAAGACATTACAACGTCTGGTTTCAGCAGCATGTTTGGACTAACTAGGGAGAATACAAAAGGGCAGATTCGATTTTTAGCTCTTAAGGAGACAAACTGAAACTTTAAACTTACCATTCAGTATGGTGAATATTGTCATTTTTATTGAACCGTTTTAAATGGAAAGTTACTCTATATTTACAGTAGCATTCATGACACAAACTCGTGACCTCTGCTCACCTGGTATACACTCCCTCAGAGTAATGCATGAAGTCGGAGGTCACCTCAAAGGCAAAGCTGACAGGATTGAGCGTAGCAACCGCATCTACCATTCCTTTCTCATCATACTGTAAAATAAAAGTGTCATCACTCACAGGCCTCTTAATAGAGACTATATATCTGGAGAAAGACTCTGATCTTCACTCACCTGGGTTATGTTCACAACATCTTTCACAAAAGCAGCTGCTAGTTCTGGCTTGTACACACAAGTAAGTTCCTGATTGAAAAAAATACATTAAAAGCCCTTAAATATATGTGACATCAATGTCAGTTTTACCTATCATGTAGTTTAGTTTATTTGTTGCAAAATATTTAGTTACAATAGCTTTGTATGGGTAGTCCTCCTCTGTCATCAGTCCCTTGTTGTACATGATGTATTCAAATGCTTGACTAGGAAGGCCGCTAAAAAAGACAAAATAAGATCTAGTTATCAGGATGTGTAGGTGACGCACACAGTCGTAGTTAAAGGTCAATTATCATAAGATGAATCTTACCCGTCACATCCATGGTTGTTGAAGTCCTGGGCACAGTCAATCAGCTGTTGTTCTGACTAAAATATATTAAAATGAGTGAACAAATACAGTAAATAAATACTCTTGACCCTACTATGACATTGGATTTTTGTTTCTACACAAGAGCAGAAGTTTTGATAGAGAAGTGAAAGAAAGTCACCAGTGGTACAAGCTTCCCAGTGTTGATGGCAGTAACAGACTCCAGACAGCCAGTTGTGGAAAAGGTCCAGCAGCTACCACAGGCTGCCTTTGGTGCAAAAAAGTAAAATAAGATATTGGATTTATGAAATAAATCAGAATTGTGGTTCTCACAGAAAACAGGTTGACATGTCACAGGGTGTTGTTTTTCAGTTTGGGACCCATTTGATTATAACATAATCGACATTTGGAGTTATCAGTTATCCCCAGGAAATATCTTAATCTGCTGTAAGTGCATGCAAAATCCACCTGGTTCTTCACATCTGTCACGTAGTTCCCTTTCTTTCTCCAGTCGATGGAATCTGGAAGTGGTCCTTTGCTGCTGAAATGGTTCCCCTTGGTGGCAGAGCAGTTCTGTAAAAGATAGTATGCATACAATGCCCTCCTTGTTGAAACAAAACAATACAACCATTACAAATAATTGTTACTTTTATGGTTGGCGTTACCTGTGGCTCCGACAAGAGGAAATACTTTCGAAATTCCCCAAATGTCATGTCTGCGAACTGGTTCAGCCCCACTGCAGGAAGAGAGGAGACATTGCTCAACTTTTTTCATAATACACCTTGTACAAATAAAATCTAAAAAGTAAAATCGATGAGGCCGCTCTTACTTGTGAATGTTTGATTTCCTTCATTGTGTTTGTCAATCCTCCTCTTGTTCTCTGTGAATATCTGGAGCCTCTCATGGTATTCCTGCATGCTGTACACTTTATTGTACTGTTTAAGGGGAAGGGGTTTCTGCTGTCAATATTAGTCTACAGTATAAGATTAGTTATTGAAATAAATTGTTGTCAACTTATATGGCTGAAATCACGTAGCCAAGTTGTCCTTACAAATAACTTCCTCTTAACCATACTGTAAACGACGTTACATAACAAATGCATAACGAAAACTGTACCTACCTGTGCCATCCATGACTTGAAGTGAAACTCATCTGAAAACAATGCATATAGTCAAAAAGTTTAAAATACAAATAATTAAATAACAAGAACAAAGGGATACAACTCCATTTGAGATAATGAAAGTGAAAGTTTTTTCTTGGGCACAAAAACTCTTCAGTACAAAACAGACCAGAGAATCACAGCAGCTTACCTTGTTCAGACAGGGGAAAAGCTGAGGCTGCTGAGAGCAAAGCGAACAATACCAAAGAGATAATCATCTTGATCAGTCAGCAACCACCGAGGAAGCGAGGGAAAATCAAGTGATGCGATGAGAAGTCACGAGTTGAACTGCAGCCTGATCAAATTTCCCAACTGACACATAATAAACACTGGGTAAATCAGCCAATCAGTGGCAAGCATAATGCACGAATCCTCAGTTCGGTAAAGTTAGAACAGATTCGAACTTCACAGATAAATAAGGCATACAAACTCGACGTCCATTAACACAGTATAAGGTAAACAACAAGCTACAACCTAATTTAGGCTATATATTTTTAATAAAGCAAATACAGGTGCGGTCCTCCGGGCTGGACAACTTTTGTCTCAACAAAGACTGCATATCATACGGATGCAGGTTGAGAGGTCTGACTATTAAGGTCTCAACCATAGACTGTATAAAGGTCTCAACCTGAGGGAGGGGGGGCGAGTGCTCAGGGACCTTCTGCAAAGTGCAACGCTGAAACGACAGCTAGGGGAACACAATTAATCTTCCGTGTTATACAGTAATGTACAGTGTTGTGCTACAAAGATCACTTCTGACCAGCAGTAGACCATTGATGTGCTTAGTGAATTTGGTAACTATTGTATTTAAAACAGCTTAGTTGTTTTAGCCGTGACCATATATCCTGCACCACCAAAATATCCTACTTTCACATCTAATCATCATAATGGTTGATTACACTAACAGAGCACAGATCAATCAAGTCTACAGATGAATCCCTCTTTGTATCAAATAAATTCCATCAGAAGTCAACCATTGCTTTTTTTTTTTTTAAGATGTGAAATTTGTACCTGCAATACATACATAAAAAATAGATTAGATAAAGCTGAGATGTCACACTTTCCTCCACTGTGGGCTACAGCATGGCTTGGACAGAGAGATGCAGGTGATGATAAATACTTTCAGATTATATTTTATTTCATTCTGAGCAAGCATGATGTCCACTGATAGATGATCTACAAAAACACTTGAGACAAAATGCCCCTGATATAAAATGGATTTATTAGCAAGAGGTAACTGGGAAACATATTTGTGTATATTTGTCGTTATTATCATCATCATAATGTATATTTTCTTGTTGTCTTTTCATTTTTTTTCTTACAAAACAGAATATTTTTAAGGTGTGGAAACATGAGGGTTGAAAGATAATTTTCATACCACTGGGTATTGCTAACAGCAAAATGTTTATTTGTTTATATACCTTATAAGAGTATGTGCATGTATAAGTGTATACAGTATAAGTATATAGTATTATTCTGTCTGTGAAGGTGTTGCATGCCTGCCACATGAGCTTCAAAAGTGTACTGTACATACATAGTAAAAATACATACAAATATTCACAGAATAAGCACTACGTTACTATATTCCTGCTAACAGAAATGGTTATAGACAGGATTACAGTATCAATGCAAAACACTTTGAAGTTATCTCCTACCTCTAAGTCATGGTTTCAAAACCACACTGTTTTAGCGTATCATGTTTAAGCTTGAGATACAACTTTCTTTTTTTGAAAGGATTACACGGTTCCACATTGAGAAATATGCAGGGTTGCATGTACAAAATATACATCACATCTCAGTGAGGTGAACAACAAAGTACAAAATACTTTCCCATGTTCATATAAAGAGCAGGTAACTCTCTCTTATACTACTACAAAAATAGTGTTTGAATGCTGCAGGCAGAGGTCATTCACATACGTTTTTATCATAAGTTTTAAACAGCAATGCATATAACAGAGTGATATACAGTCACGTCCCACAATCACTGGAACAGCAAAAAGGACAGATTGTCTTTTAATTACAGAAGAGCAACAACCTTTACTCTACACAAGTATCGCCAAACCTGAAGGTACAACACTTTCCACCGCATGTGATCTTTTTTTATGAGTTAAACTAAATACCAAGAAACATGAATTATTTGAGCATAGGTAGAACTCACTGTACTGTATACTTTATGTATGTTTATTTTAAGTGTAAAGCTAAATTCTGATGATGAATGCTTCACCTTTAATCACAGCTATCAAAAGAAATGTAACTTTTCCTTATCACTGTGTGTTGTCACACAGATTATAAGTAAATTGAGGTGAGTTTGGGCATCTTGTGTGACAAAAGGCTTAGATGGAGAGTGTGTCACTTTACAACAAATAAAAAAAACACTTACAAACGTGTTAATTTTAGGTTAGTGAAGACATGTATCTTAAAGCAGAGGTTCCCAATTCCTTCCCTGGGGAACAAATAAGCGTTCTGATGCTGCAAAAAACAATAAATGATCCGTTTTGCATTTTTCTTCCCCAACATGGACTCACCACCGTTATATGGATTTTTAGACGTGCTAGTAGCATGGCTTTAGATATCTTTCAACTTCATTTTGATTGATATTTTACTAACTATTGGCTCCTGTCTTTTGTGATCACTAGACCTTTTTTCTGGTGCCACCATGAAATGCACATATTTTTGTTTTCTAGTGAAAAGTCTCAATTACTGTTGGTTGGATTGCCAAGAAACATTGTATTTATGTACTACTTAGGATGAATTAAAAATAACTTTTGTGGTGCACTGACTTTTCATCTAGCGCTATCCTCAAGTTAAACAATAAGTTGGTCCATTATGTTATGATGAAAAACAAAAAAACATCCCTACCAGCCTCACTTTTATAAGTATCTAGGTTTAACCACTGGTCTACAACGACACTGTCAGTATGAAAACAGTCCGCAGTGCCACAGATTGGTTGGGAACCTCGGACTCTAGAGTACTGAGCAGAAATGAAGAAAACAAATCCCTGTTATTTTGGTTTGGGAAGCACAGAGACATTAATGCTTCAGGTACCTTGCTGTCATCTCCACTGATCATTGTGCCTTATCTTTAAATACAGTTGTATTCTCTGTGCTCTTTTACCTGATTTGATGCACTTACATTTTTACAATGCTACATTGGTTGCAGAGAAACTCAGTCATAGATACAACTCAAGCAAAGAGAACAACAGCTGGCAGCAGGAGTGCTCAGAAAGTGCAAAGTCAACACATTACGAGATGATGCAAAATAATGTCATTGGTCACTAAGAAGACACAGTTGTGCGCAACCAAAGGGACCTCTGTTATTATGCTTAAAATACCCTAAAATAAAATGAAAAGCAGGTGGCAACTGTAACAAACAAAAAATATAGACTGAAAGGTTTTGTGTTGTCAAACAACCTTAAACATCTACTGTACAGAAGAGCAAATATCTTAAACATGTACAACTATACAAAAGGTAATGTGTATGTTTACTGATGTGTAATATTAACAGAGAAAATAATGTGGACGACCAACTTCCCCTTCAGTTCAGCACTTTGGGCTCAATTCTGAGTGAGGCTTCGTACATGCTCTCTTCATCCAGAACAAAACTATTATCCAGTAGATACTGGGCTACCTGCAACAGAAAAAAAAAAGTGTTTAAGAAATATTCTTGTATTGAAGTCTAGCTTTACAATTTTCAAACATCACAAAATAGATAAGGAAGCCAATATTGTTCATTTTCCAATCGGTTTTATAATTTTTGTTGGTTTGTGACCTCTTTAATAGAAAAAACATGACTACACATGACATATCATCACTAGTAGCACATGTCTAAAGGTAAAGACCAGGTTGACTAATAAGTCATTGTACCCCCCTTTTTAAAATAATTTGTATAGTGCGGAAGAAAACTACCCAGCTTTTTAAAGAAAAGAAAATAATGGTTCAGTAAGAACACATGAATGTAATTTTGTGTGCTATAATATTTGTTCCTGATTTCATATTCTGTTCATTTGTTTGCCTTTTTCTTGGTAATTATGGGATGAGTTATTCCTTCAGGCCTCTGAAAAGTATTTAAATAAAACAAACTAAGTACGATAAATCTCTTTTGAGTTGAACTGGCCACAATAGTCTTTACGAACTGTGTATAAGGCTTGCATGTAAACAGGATTGACTTACCTTTGGTTGCAGGTCAATCTTGTATGCTGTTTGCTGAAACTGCCTGATTTCTCTGATGATGTGAGAAATCTGAAAAAACACAAGAATAAGGATGTGAAATTCTGACCGTAAAACACACCCTCGCGCCAAGTCTCTAATGTGATTAGACATCTCACCATTCTCATCTTTGAGAAGTTGACCAAGTTGTCTTCGGTGTAGTTCGGCGTTCCCTCCTCAATGAAAGCCAGGTCGGTAAGGTACATCCCCAGATATGGCACACAGGGAGGATCACAACTGGTGAGAAAAAAAAACACTGTACACTTATACTGCACGCTTGCTTTGTTGATCCAGAACAACACTGTGTCTCACTCACTTCTTTAAAGCCTCTCTCAGGTTTTTGAACCGCCCCTCTGATGAGACCAGCTTCTGCAGCTTGTCAATCAATGCTTTTGTCTGGAAGAAAAGGTTGTCAAGAACACAATTAATGATAACATTAGGCACATTATAAGGAAAAATCACAAGGCACATTACATAGGAAGATACACACCTGCTTGGAAACCTTGAGCCAGGTCTTCTTGAGGCGGAAGACAGAGCTGCGGTTGAGGGACGAGGTGATCTCCAGCACGGCGTTGTAGTTGTGGAGGCAGCGACAGATGTCCGCCACAGCCACCCATTTCTCTAAGACCACCACCCGAGTGACCACGTCGTCACAGCGCAGGATCTCTGTGGCAATTAGGTTGCTTATCTTGCAGGGCAAAGAGAGAAACAAATGGTTTACAATCACTAAACGTTACAGAAAATGATTTGTATCAGGGGCTTATAATAATTGGCATGCTTCCACCATCCTCTCTTCAGGAGATATTTGAGGAGATGGTGAGAAAGCAAGGCCGTAAAATTACATGCGACCCCAAACACATCCTGTATAGAGAGTTTGAGTTGCTGCAGAAGGTATAGATTACCAAACTGTAAATTGAACAGGTATAAGTTTTCCTTTGTTCCACTGTCAATCAAGCTGCTGAACAGTCAGAAACAATTGTGATTATGCTGTGTTAGGAGTTGTTGGGAGGCGAAATGTTTACAGTGTAGTATGTGCAATCGAGAAGGTTAAATAGGGAAAGTGCATTATGTGTAAATAGGTATGGACACAATAGGGATATGTGCAATTTGACGGACACTATGCATAGGT